TTTTTTTTAAATGTACGTACGTAGGGTTATTTGACTAAGTTTTTAAAAGCTATGTACAACATATTAAATGTAGAGTACGTAGACATTGGGGTGTGTGATATACTACGTATGTCATATAATAAAATTTATTAATTATTACTAGATGCGCTGCCCTAACAGTTGATAGTTTTGGATAAAATTTTGCAAAGATCAGCATTATGTCTCTACAAACAAAGTTATAGAGCCATTTCTTTAAGAAGAAATTAAATTAAGACCTTGCCTTTTTACGTAACGCTGCGCATCTATTTAAAATTTACAATAATGATTAAAATTATTATCTATCTAAAAATTTTCATTAATAAACTTTAATATATGTATTTAAACTTAAAGGTGTTATTTGTTATTAAGTTTAACCAGATATGCATTTAATAACAACCATTAGGATCAAAGCATTAAAAATTATTATAAATTACAATTTATAATTTAAATATATCTTTTTGTTAATAATTTCGAGATTTCTTCGCTTCGAACTTCACAAAATGATCTACAAAAATTGACCTATCAGAACGAAAGTCCCGCTATGCTGGTTTCGTACTAAAATTCCGTGTAATGACGCATAATAATACATAAATAAAAATTTTGAATGCGGTTTATTGCAACATAAAATCATCGTCTCTGAGCACGATCAGGAAAATTCAAAACAATTGTACATTTTGTCCTAACGGACACTAACCCTAACGTAAACAAAATTTAAAGGATTTTTTTGCCATCATGTGGCAATAGAATTTTTGTGGCGATGGTGGGAAAGATCGTGCATTTCAAAATAAGAAAGTCCCCATGCTTAAAATAGATCCAAATTTCATCCGTGACATTAAATAAACTTTATTCTTTTATTGGATTCTACTTCTACGCTATTATTATCCATTACTTTTCTCTTAGGATTTTTTAAATCTTTGAGTATTTTAATATGTTCATCAAAAATTAAATTGCATTTATTTGCATCGATTATTGCAACCCAATCTTCAACTGTATTGTCGAATGACGGATCATCAATTTCAAGATTCTTCCTTTAATGCCACTAATGCCGGATAACTTATAAATATTCTAAACACACCACAATAATTGTTGTGGATTAAATCTAAAACTTTTTCGTATGAATTTTTGTAAGATTCACCATTTAACTGTTTATAGCATTAAATGGATTATTATTAAATGATATAAAAAATTAAGCAATAACAATTTTTTAAAAAACATTATTACCAATTGACATGTCCCTTTTCTTTTATGATAAAATTTTTTGGGATCCGTTGTTATTAAATCACCTTTTGAATTTTTTCGCGCAATTTTACTTGAACGAATGTGACAAATCTAAAATAGAAATAAAAAATCATCTAATTTATGGTTTTTTTCAATAAGTGATGCTGTAATTATATAGAAGATTTACCTCTTGTCTGGCATACCAACGGGATGCATAAAGGTAACGATATCCGGACCTGCTTCATTTTCAGGAAAAAAAAAAAGGCACGACGGGATTTTCTAAAAATCTTGGGAGATTAAAGTCAGCTGTGCAGCGCATCGACTGTACACATAATTTGCGATTATTGTCGCATGGTTCATAAATTTTCCAGTTTTCATATGGAAGCTTTTTATTGAACAAAGTATGTGCTTTTTTGTCCTCAAAAAGATTCTTAATTGCATCGGGAATTAAGCTTTCCCACAAAATTCCCATACTACTAGGCGAGTAATCGACATCGCTCATTTTGTCCAGAATATATGTAGAAGTGTTTCTAAATTTTTTAAAATATGATATTGCCGATTCTATTACAAGCGGCTCGCCTATGGTAACTTGAAATTCACCCGATTTGTCGTCTCGTTCTAATAATGCGACACCACATTCAAATAGCTCTAACGTACTTTTTTGTACGAGAGTTATTTTAGAACCGGTATATAACGTTTTTAACACTATCCTTTCTAATAATGATATCATGTCAATATCACCACTCCCATTTTTTAATAAAGTATTTCCTACTCCCTTTCGAACAAATTCACTATTGGTTCTTTGAATTATCCTAACCATAATGCTTTCATTATGGTTTGGATCGGTATATCGTTTTTTAAATCTTTCAAATATTGTTGCCATATCATACGTGCTACTAAGCCATTCTTCGATAAAGGAAGTTGAAAATCTAGCCCGCCCTATTAGCCATCTTAGAATGTTCACATATGACTCACATGGAAAATTAAAAGTTGATAAAAAAGTTTTGAGATTGTCGATTGAATCATATCGATTCTTTATAACAACTATTTCTTCATTCCAGATACCCTCCTTCATGATATGAGAGCCAGTATGATCAAGAGCTGATTTCATAGTTAGGCCAGTTCCTAATGGAATAACACATAAACCTTGTATCGAAAATGCTCTAATTACAATCGAATATAATGGGCATTTCATATTTTCAGAAGTCGTATAATTGAATTTATTTTGAAAATTATTAATGAGTTCTTGAACCACGATAAGCCTTGTCTAAAAAAATTATTAACAAGATTAAGCAAATGAATATATGCGATATAGAATTAATACTTATAAAATGATAATAATTGTTCTTTACTAATAAAGCAAAAAAAAAAAAA